AAACATTAAAAAGAAGAAAATGAAAAATGAGACACCTTTAAAGTCACCTCAAGAAATTTATTAAAGCAGACACTGAGATTTTTAGGAATTACTACGACAGCAAAAATGGTTTTTCCAAGTATTCACTGAGCATTTTCTATGTCCCAGGAACCCTGCAAGACAGACATAGTACATACAAAGACAACAGGCCATATAGCCCTCTGACCTTGAGAATCTGAATAGTTGGGACAAAAAACTGGTAAGCAAATGTGCAAATGCCATAAAAGCATTAACTAAAAACCCCTTGCTAGGAGGAAAGGGTTCCGGGAGGAGAATACCCAGCACACACTAGGTTGCCGCCTGCTTCATGCATTTCCAAAGCACTTGAGCCTCTCCCCCCACTAATTACACATTGTCATTTTTTGTATTTTCTAAAATAGAGATCCTTCTATTGAATTAGAGATTTTATTTTTAACCACAATACTCAATGCTCACAAAGATAGATTAAAAGATACACATTCATGTAATGCTAGTGAGTATAAACTAGTATTTTTATTACCAAATACCTTTTTGAAAAGTTGTATTAAGGCCTTAAAAGTTTTTCAAACCCTATGACCCAATACTTATACTCCTAGGAATCAATTACAAAATATAATTTATCATACAACCAAACATGTATGAGCAAATATTAGTATTTTAAGAAGTGAAAAGTAAAATAAATAAATAACAATGTCTAATAAGAGATACCTAACTTACCTAAGAAATGATAAGACAACGAAAACAGTCTCAAGTCAGCACACTTTAAAATAAATTTCTAAACTAACGCACCCTCAGAAAGTTATAGTTCTGAATGCTCTATATTTGCTCCAAGTTCAAAGTGACAGAAGAGCACAATTAGTTTTTGATGACACAGGGAGATGTTTATGATATCATGGTAGGCAATATAAAAGAAGATATAAACAATATAAAAAAATATTCTACCCAAGTACACCAACCTGAATGGATATTCAGGATGATCTCAATTAGTCAAAAATGACATGAAAACCAAAAAACTGGAAGAGAATATACCACAGTACAGTGGACAACATAACTTCAGAAATACTTCCTTCAACTTAGCTGTATTTTTATAAATTTCCACATTTTTCAATGACTGTGTATTACTTAATAAACAGAGAGAAAAGTAAAAACTTTAAAGCAAAAATAAATCCACCGAACTTCACCAAACCATTCACCAAAAGTAATAAATTCACAGAATTATTAAGAGCAAAATCAGGTGTTTAGGGTTAAAAAATGAATGCAGGCTAAAAGGAAAACCACAGGAAAAGACCAGATACACAGGACCCTGTGAAGAACAATTTCAAAAGGAAGCAAATTTGCACTATATACCAAAATATTAAAATGTACAAACTCTTTGATTCCCCCAATGCACCCTGCATGTGAATGGGTTTTAATAAATTTGTGGCAAGTTTTAATTTACAGAACTGGTTTCTAATTGTTCTGTAATAATAGGCCACATTCCTATGAACACTAATGTATGCAAACTTGGACCTACAAAACTCACTTTTTTATAAAATATATTTTTATTTATTTTAGAAAGAGAGGAAGGGAGAGGGGGAGAGAGAGAGAGATAGAAACATCAATGATGAGAGAGAGTCAATAATCAGCTGCCTCCTGCAGGCCCCCGCTGGAAATCGAATCCGCAACCCAGGCATGTGCCCTGACCAGGAATCGAACCACAATCTCCAGGATCATAGGTCGATGCTCAACCACTGAGCCATGCTGGCCATGCCAAAACTCACATTTTAAAATGAGTTAGAGAAGTTAAAATTTAAAACTGCCAGATTAAGTGGTTTTAAGTAGTTTAATTCATATATAAAATGAAAACAACATAAATTAGCATAATTTAAAATACATTTCTAAGGCTATTCATCCTCAAAGAATTACAGTTTTGTATGTTCTACAACTATTTCAAGTTTTAAAGTGACTAACCTAACACTACTGTTTAACAATTTTAGTTGTTAAAGAAGTCCATGTGAACAATAAAAGAATGGTATCAACTGCTATATCCAACAACTTTTCTCAAATAATGTTCCTTAAATGATAATGGGTACAAATAAAAAATAAATGAAAGGGGAGGTCCTTTTATCAAATACATTTTTAAAATGCAAGAGACTTTATGTTAATGTGTACAGTAATCTCTGAGGCAGTACATCTTCTAAATTTAACTCAGAAGTGATTCTACATCCTAAATAAACTGAATTTGGTTACCTTGTAATTCAAAGGGGTAAAGAGTGGCTCCCTAGGTTCCCAGGATGATGGTGAGTAGAATGGTGTCAACTTGTCACTAACAGGAATAAATGTAAGATGAGGGGGTGTGTGCAGGAGAGACATCCAGGGGGCAGTTACATGGGTAGGGAGCTCAGGAGAGAAGAGTTAGACACAAACATAGATTTTAACAACATCAGTATCTAGGTGTCTAGTGGAGCCATTACTGTGATTGTTGTTAACCAGAGAGTGTTTTCTATTTTTACTCTAGATGCCTTGAATTCAATAGATAAGTCTTAAAAGTTTACCATAAACATCCACTGTTTACATATGTGCCCCTTCTCCAAGTGAAATGTGTTCCTTGATTCCTAAGCACAAGGATCCTGTGGGCAGGGTATCTATTACAGTACCTGGTACAAAGCAAAGGTTAGCCAAATAACTGTTTTGTCATAAATGATTTTTCTTCCAAAAATTAACAGAACAATCCAATTTTACCTCATTTACATTCTAACTATATATTATAATATGTGAAAAGACACTCGAATTAAACAAGTACAGGAACACCTATAGATACATATACTAGAGACACATCAAAGTTTGACTCTGGCTTGGTGTTCAGTAAAAATTTATCATTAAGCTTTGGCTTTTGAAAGACCAGTCAGTGCCTACTTCCACGTCCTTCCGAGCACCCCGGAGCCTGCACCTAATCAGTGAAATGGCAGGAGAATGAGGTATCATCACATCTAACCAACAGTCAGTGCCATGAATGCCTGGGGACAAAAGCATATTCTCTTTCAATAGTGCATAAGCACTCTAGAAACAACTTTCATTGAAAATGCGTTGTGAGCCTTTCTGTGGTAAAATTCTACCAACCGAAGTGTAATAAATGTGTGCATGGTAAAACAAGAGCAAACTGCTGCATTCATTAATGATGATTATGAAAGCTGTTAATTTTATGTTCAAAAACAATTATTAACTTTCAAATTGTTTAAAGGGAAATACACCAACAGCTAATACATATGTTAGAGAGAGCCAGTCCTCCTTACTTGGGTTTTTTCCTTTATAGCCAATAAATGTTGAAAATTTTTAAAGACTACAAGGTCAAGTAAGAGAAACTGGGTTATATCATAAATCTAATCTTTGTAGTAATTTTCTGTGTTTTAGCATTCGTAAAAATAACTAGATAATCTTTATAAACTGTATTTACTCTTGAGATATTTCATTTCATCCATAAGTCTTTCAACAGAAAGAGCTTTCTGGAAACTCTTCATACCTTATGAAGCTAAGCTAAAAATAAAAGAGCAACTTTGCCTCTTCAAACTTCCATACGGAAAAATCTCCAAAACAATGAATATTCAGGAATCAATCTGAGACACCCTTGCTCCGGTACCGGCCTCAGCTGAAAGTGAGCCTCTACCTGGTACAGCCACTGCGCAGCACGGTGCCCACAGAGCAGTCCCGGAGCGGACAGTGCTGACAAACTGTTCTGCACCAAAAGGTCAAACTGCTAAACTGACAACAAAATTCTCATAAAATCCTAAAATTTTCTCTGTAAATTTTCCTATTTACTTCTCTATGACAGTGATATTCAGCCTCAGTATCATGATTTTATCAGCCACTCAGCCAGAACGTGTGCATGGAGTACCTCTACCATGTACAGAAAAACATGTGCGTGCGTGCCTGAGACAGGTTACAAAGGATCCCTCAATCACCTTTCACTTAAAAAGGCTTACCACCATATTCTTTGAGTTCCTCATGCATGTCAAATATTATTTGACCTATAAGTTAATTTGCAAATATATTCAAGCACATTTCTTCATATAAAACGGTATACCTGATATAGTCTTTAAATCCCACTCCAAAGTAAAAAGGGGGAAAAAAACAATGACAAAAACTTTAACAGCTACACCAATAACGTAATTAAATATCTATCCAGGATTTATGTTGATACTTCTTTTCTGGTTAAAAACTACATTTTCAAATGATTTATAAATATAATCAAGTAAGACTATCTCTGACAAAGTCTACAAACATAAGCCACTTGGTTCAACAAAATGCCTCAAAATCGACCTGGTTTAAGATACAAGTTTACAAGTTAGTAACACTTTATCCATTAGCTACACTACACTTTCAAGAGTTTGAACACAGCCTTAACATGAATTAGCTTCAATTTTTCCATGTATGAGTAAGAACACCTCAATTAATTATAAAACAATCAAAAATATTCTTTCAAAAATGACTCCATACTGCTTCCCCTATAAATACAAATGACAAAAGGATGAAAGAGAAGGCAGGGTGAAGGAACAAGGACAGAAAAAACAAAATCCCGTATCATATTTTATAAAGGGGTCATACACGTATGTGTAATATCTTTAATTTACTTTCAAATACACTACTATGCCTTTAAAAGACTTGCTCTATTCTAACAGGGATCTGAGGGAAACATATATTTAACCATATAGGGAAGTATTTATTTTTAACAGAAATACTTCAATTCTCGAAGTATTAATCAACCCTCCACTTTTTAAAAGGTCAAGTACTAGCAATTACTAAGTTGTATTTGTATTAATACCACTATAAGTCACTGTCAAACTGATTCCCAAAGTCAAGTTAAATAAATATCCCAACTATCTTTGCATTACTGATCTAAATAATTCTCCCCACTAATACTGTTTATCAGAAAGCTTCCCCCATTCAAAATATACCACATTCTCTCAGACAGTCATAGTTTTACTGTATTTTAAAACTTGAGTCACCTGTATGCATCGTCTTCTTTCAAGTCTCATATCATCCTGATGGGGTGGGGGAAGGGAGGGAAGAGTCCAGCAGCAAAACTATAACACTGTGTGGAGAAAAACAGATGATGATGAGAGATAAGGATGCGAGACAATCACCCGACTGAGGAGCATCTACTGTAACTACGACCCCAAGCAGATAAAGCTGATTCAGACTCATTACGAACATTTATTTAAGCTCACTTGAAAATAATTTTTATTAATGAAAATGTATCAGATATAAAATACAAAGTATTCAATTGTCAGGGAGAAAAATATTTTAAAATCTACCTACTACCAATGAAAACTTCACACATTTCTAGATATGAAATAAAAGTCAATATTACATCCTACATAATTTATCAGGGGGTCTACATTTTGTAATCTCCATCAATTCACAAATCAATATGAATGTGAGTTCACGTTCCATCGTGGCTTACTATCAGAGGTGATCACAGATAATAAAAATTACTTTATAGGAAAGATAGCACGTCAATCTACCAATGCTGCTGTAAATGAAGTCTGAGACACTGCTCACAACTACCCCCTAAGCCCACAAGCCCTTTTGCTTTCTGAATGGCTTCTCTTACTTTATTCTAAATCTTTTACTGTCCTTCCCACTTACTGCTTCCATTGACAATGTCATGATTGACTGGCAAATTCCATAATGACTGACAGGAAAGCAAAAGCAACCTCACTGTTGTTATCAACTGAGAGCACATGATAACAGCACAAGAGACAAAGACAAGCACAGGCCAAAACCTAACTTACAAATGAGTTCAGTCTAAAAATGTATTTTATAAAGTGATACAATGTTGCTTATGTTGGTCCAGTTCCCAGGCTAGCCAAAAGAAACCTATTAATCCCCAAGATACTACTGGTCATGGGCATTAGAGACCCGGCAGAACAAACATATAAAGCTAACCAATTCCAGATCCTCTTTACCTGGACAAATTCTAAAATTGGTTGTTTCCTCTGTTAGCACTCTCTCAAGTCCTACTGCCTGCAATTTCCTAAATTCTACATTATGGCATCCCAATCATCCTGCTTAATAATAATCCTTTCCCCTAAATACATTCCTAAATTGCCATCTAACACTTCGATTGCCTCAGTGTGGTTCATTTCAGGTATGTGATAGGAAGAAATCAACTGGACTACAATAATTCACTTTAACTAAATTTGCAATTTTCAACAAGGATGCTAGTTAGCCCAAATGAACCCTTAACTGGTAGAATTCTACATGTTGCAATATAAAGTAAAAAACTACTGAGGCAGTGTGAAGAAAAACATTTTTAGGGAAGTGGGTCATGATTTAGATTTGAGTCTGTATTTATTGCCCCAAAATATTTCTGCTTTTATTTTTCTCTTACTTGTGAACTTAACAGGTTCTTTAAAAACTCTTAAGTCTATATTCCAAATAGCAGCAAATGGAAGAGGAGTTCAGGGACAGGGGGTTAAATGTATAAATTATTTGTAAATTAGGAATTCCCTGTCTAAAATCATTACCTATATTCCAGATTCCATTCCTACAGAACCACCACCTTCCAATAAAGATGCCAATATGGTAACAAGTAAAACCCTAGATAGTATCCAATGTGGGGGTTGTATGGATAGATGGATGGATAAACATTAAAAATACTCATCCAAATAGTTTGTAAAAATATTACTGTAATCATCAAGATTAAAGATTTTTATTTCAAAGACATAGTTTTCTAACAACTTTTTCCCCACATAAATGATCATTCTTTTCAATTCTAGCATAAACCATAGGAAAAGAAAATATAAATTAAATCTCTAATTATACACTATATATTATCAAATCCTTTAGGCTCTAAACATCATATTATTCACATATAAAATGTTACAATGCTACCTACACCCCCAAAACTTCAATGGTTTCAATAGAAAAAGACAGTATTACTGTTACTGTTACAAAAGCACCTTATAAGAAAAAAGCAGAATCAAATAAGACATTAGTATTCTTTTTATCATATTAGAAGTTTATAGAAATTAGCAGATTGTTTCGGAAACATTTGAAATATCTGAAGGTATATCTATGGTTGAGCCAGGGGTACAATAGATAATGTATCTGACTATAGAGCATAAAAATAGTCTGACCCTAAATCTGACATCTTTTAGAAGTCATCCATTAATCACTCATTTGAAAAGCAGCCTTTAGCAAAGGGTACAGTATCTCTGTGAGTTACAAAATGTGCTGCTGACATACACAACTACTAAACCGTCATATACTGAGTATGATAAATTCCCTAAGTATTGACCTTGGATTGCTTTAAATAAAGATTCTAGTAATTATTCCACATATCCTTCAAGGTGGTCACTTTTCTTTCTTTGTAAGATTTTTTATTGATTTTTTAGAGAGAGAGGGAGGGAGAGAGAGGAGAGAGAAAAACACTGATGTAAGAGGGAAACACTGATTGGCTGCCTCCTGCATGCCCCCTACCAGGGATTGAGCTGGCAACCTGTCAGTGCATGGGATGCCACCTCACCAAATGAGCTACACCAGCGAGGGCCAGAGTGGTCACTTTTCTCACACACACACACACACACACACACACACACACACACACACACACAACCAAATTATATGAAAAGAACAGTAATATTTTAAATTTTTCTGAGAAAAACCTACAGTGATTTTTTTCATCTTTTCCCCCACAAATTGAGTAATTCACAAATTATAGAGCAAAGATTAGATGCTAATTAAAAGCATCTCCTATCTTAACTTACAGGAACCTTCCATAACCCTGAGAATCTCTTACAGTATATGTTTCAGTTCACATTTTGCCAAAAGAAATATAATGAATGGTCGATGAACAATCTAGGAACTGAACTCAGGTGGTTTTGAAGCTAAACTTACAAACCATTTTTTAACTGTTTAAAAACCACTGCAAAAACTTAATGTACAGTGTATCTTCAGGGATGAGGTAAAAGGAAGGAGGGGGGAAGAGACGACGAGAGGGAGGAGGGTGAGACTATCAAAGACACTTAATTAAAAGCACTGACATATTGAGATTATAAAATACTGATCCACAAAGACCAAGAGTGGCAAATCTGTGATTGAAATGAATACATCTGCATGACATGGCCAATCCAGATTAACTGAGGAGTTAATGAATTAAATGGCAAGTAAAATGTTTTCTCTAATGTCACAATGTTTTGTGAGGAAAAAAACAAAAACCCTATCTAGTTTCAAAATAAAGTAGTAGAGAAGCATTACAAGCAGCAGGTGAAAAAAATCAGTATGATACAAGCTTCAAAAGTACTGGTAGGTAGTCTTATTTCTCAAGCTAGGTGGAAGTGCACAGTTGTTTTTTACTATCATTAATTTTACATAAGATATATATTCTTGTATGTATAGTTCACAATTTAAATTTTTATCCCACAGGAAAGTATAAAATATAATGTACAATGGGATTTAAATAATTCAGAAGATGCCAATTAAGAATAAGCTCCCCTACCCCCAAAAAAGAGCTACAAAAAATGAAATCAAGAAAAACTTAGTTGATAGGTCTAAAATTTGATTCCATGAATTAAAAATTACAATATACTGTTAACATTTTTTAAATTATATACTGTGACTAGCTTTCCTTATAAATTTCTGCCCATTTACAATGACTGATTAAGGAAGTAACAGAAGAAAACATCTTTTTCCATACAATAATTTTAGAAATAAATTTTCTAAAATTATAATAGCCACGGGAGTCAAAAGGGAAAGAAAATAGAGAAATGTCACGGTTTCAATACCCAACACACAAGGGGGAAAAAAATCTATAACTCTGATTCCCAATAAGATGGTCAAGTGGCATACAGATAAAAAGTATTTTCACTAACTGGGGATTTCAAGTGAAATACTAACAATCAAGAATATTTATGACTCCACAAAACCCCTAGAAAGTAGTCACAGCCTTAAAAAAATTGAAAAGGCAAAACGCACAAGACTTTAGAATGTGGTATCAAATCAAAATTATGAGTAAAACTATACAGGAAAGAACATCTGCTGAACAATTTACTATGCACCAACCACTCAGCTGAGACACATTATAGACACTGACCCATTTAATCTCCTAATAGCCCTACACACAAGTAGGCAGTGCAATTTCCATTTCATCAATGGGGAAAGCAAGGGTCACACAGATTAGTGGGTTTGGCCTAAGGCCACAGCTTGAGAGCCCTGGTCCCACACCGAAGTTCCTATTTTCCAACACCACCAAAATGCCTCTCGGTAAAGATCACTGTAATGGTTACAAGGAAATTATAAAGATGCAAGAATCTAGATGTCTCTAAGCCTGATTTTAGACCCTGAACTCATTCTTCTACCTCAACCATCCCAAACATGAAATAAGGCTTCTTAGTAGTAAATTAATTTGCAAAAAGCATTTCTGTTTAGGAGAATGGAAGCAGAGAAATTTTATTACAGCATATAATAAATTGTTATATATTCCCTTAACAACAACAAAATTTTTTTTTTAAGGAGACAAACTGAAAAGAAGGTAAAAACCAATAGCAGTTAAGTCATTTTTGCACTAGAGCCTTGGGCAAGATAAAATAGCATGAAGGATTAGAAACCTGGGTCTTGAATTATACAACTCCAAAGTCGTGTTGGAAGTGGCAGTAGCTGAATTCGGTAATAAAGGGGATAGAAGGATGTGATTTCTCATGAAATTATATGAAAAGAACTAACAAAAGCATGAGTAACCAGTGGAGAGAAAGCTAAAAACTAAGCGGAGCCCAGCGGGACGTGGCTCAGCAGTTGAGCGTCAAACTAGGATCCAGCGATCCGGGTTCGATTCCCAGTCAGGGCACATGCCCGGGTTGCGGGCTCAAGGCAGCCAATCAATGACTCTCGTCATTAATGTTTCTAACTCGCTCTCACTCCTTTCCTCTCTCTGAAATTAATGAAGAGATATTTAAAAAAAAAAAAAAAAAAAACTAAGCAGAGAGGAATAAATAGATATTGCCCAAAATTTTTGCTACCTCAAGCATCAAGTTACTTGGCCTCTCTGGGACTGTATCTAGGCTCATATGAGACAAAATTCTCATATGAGAATTCTCATATGAATATTTGGATACAGCACTAATTACAGGAACACAGGAGAGAAACACTTCATCCTCATGTGCATGTTAATGCACTGACAAATATTTTTTAAAACTGGAGGAGACTGAAACTTTCTAGGGGTAAGTTATGATCAACTAGTATAAAGTTCAGTGCCCTGTCACTAATTCAAAATACAAACCCTACCACTGATACTCTATTCTGCTTGCCATCCTTTGTCTTCCTTTAGTTGAGTGTGAAAACATAAAGATTTGAACAAGTTTATATCAACAGTCAAGTCTATCAAAAAACTTACATGTATTCTCTTGAATTCCGAGTTCCTCAAATATGAATTCTCAGACTGTAAAACTTTAGAGGAACCTAACTCCCACTACTGGAGGGTGACTACTTACTATGTAGATACTAGGAAAATTCCTTCTATAAGCAGACCTAAGTTCCAGAAGGCTCATTTCTAAGATAGTTGGTTGAAAGTCAATATTAAGTACTTTTTTAGTTATATGTGGAATTAAGCAGGCTTTTTTAAGCTGGCTTGCCTCTAGCTCATCTCTCCCCGCAGGGTTCAGGTCCACATTTCCAAGAGCCCAGTGAACTGAGTTTGGATATCTCAGTTATTACTGTTCCCGTTATTACTGCATAGGAGGTATCTTATCTTTAACAGACACCCATATCTTTAATTTACTGAATTCCCATAAATAACTGCTACTACCCCCATTTTACAGATGAGGAAACTAAGGTCCAGAGAAGTAAAGTGAAGTCACCCCAAGTCACACATGACTTAATGGTAAAGAGATAAAAATTCAAATCCAACCAAAATGACTTCAAAACTGCTGCTGTCAGGCTCCATGTTAAACTGAATTTACCATCCATCTCCCCATCCTTCTAACATGCTCAAAAAAGGGCGAAAACACCAGGCAGGACAGCAAATAACCTACTTCTCCTTCCTGTATTCTCTGTCTTGGTTAATGAATGCCACCACACCCAATCTTCCAAACTAAAACCCTAATCATCTATGACCTATTTCCTATTGCTTACCTCACATACAATCCACAAATTCTTGTGTTGGATTTCACCTCCCAAAGTCTTTCAAACTGGCCTCATTACTCCATTTGTACTGTTCCTATCTTAGGGGTCCCTTGTTCTGTTTGCACTTCCTGCTCAAGTTCACTCACTACAGCCCATTCTCATCAGAATGGTATGCTTTACAAACAAATCCTGTCACCATTCCAACCCAATTGTGTGCAATTTTGTTGTTCAGAAGCTAGAACTGAACAATGATATTCTCTCCATTTAAAATTAAAAATCTCAAGGTTTTTTCCCATCATTTATCTGAAATAAGACTGTTTTCTGATTACAAAATATTACATGCTCATTGCTTACGAAACTAGGAATAAAGAACTAAAAGTCATACAAAATTTCACCACCCTAAAATTATAAATCTGCTCGTTTTTAAAATTTTACATCTTTACATCAACAACTTACATTTGTATGATTTTAAATTGTTCTACAGTACTATGTACAGAAGTAGGTTTACTTTAAGCAAACACTTACTGTGGGACATTTGTGTTGTTGCCAATTTTGCACCACTATAAATTTTGAAACTAGAAACCTGCTTTTATCCACTTGTTAATGGAATCAAGAGCAAAGTAACATGAACAAAACACCAAGATTTTTCAATCTCTTCTGCTAAGGTGCTGCCTTAAGATATTGTTTTATATCACCTACACGTAAAGAACTCAAAT